AGTCTCCTCCCGCTGCTCTCTGGGCTGGCTCCCAGGCGCACCCCTGTATCCCGGCTACACAGGTGCTTCAAGTCTGCCCAGATGGACCCCGGGTTACCTGCGCCGACTGGAACCCAAGCAAGCCCCCAAGCAGAGAAACCACGGGTAATCCTGAGGGTTTGGGCCTCACCTGACTGCCCTCAGAGTTGCCCGAGCTCCTAGCCTGCCTTCCTGTTCCCAAGCAGTGAAGCCAGGACCAAGAACACATGACATGCGGGGGGCTTGCCTCAGGGTCCCCATAAGTCGGCCTGAGCGCCGGAGTCTGATCCCGTTGGCTCAGAGCTCTGTTCCACCTGGGCAAAGGCTCTCAGTCTGTAGAATCGCTACGCTGGCGTTGAGAAGGTCCTGATGCTGTGGGCAGCACTGCTGGTGACCGTCGGTGCCTTGAGAGGGAAGAGTGGACACTTCCTTCCCAGTAGGTTTGCGACCCTGTGCTGAGGAGTCGGGCTGCGGGCCTGATCTCTGCGTTGGCCAGCCGCTTCCCCCGCTCACTCTTGAATCGCGTCTCATTAGCCAGGTGGGCATCGCCGCGTCCTGCTGGTGGGAATGAAGCCTGCCGGCCTGTCTCTGAGCAGTGCACCAGAACCGTCGGCAGCAGGCTTCTCTGATCTTTTGGAATCCCGGGTGAAGGAAGTAATGGGGAGGAGAGGATGCTCGCGATGACTTTTTTTTTTTTAAATCCCTGGACATTTATGTTACTTGATTTTACCTTTCGAGGGCTGGATCCAGCCAGCGGTCCTGGGGTAGAGCCAAACCCTCCCAGCCACTTTGGAGACACAGACACGCTCTCCGCTCTCTGCACTGGCTCCTTACACGCAGACACATGAAGAGCCGGGTCGAGCCATGGTGTGAAGGTGGTCGTGGGCTGCCCTGAAGGCTCCAGCCCCACTTTCCCCAGAGGCCCAGGCTGGTCCCTGGCACTGCAGGTACTTTCCTGAGTACCTCCAGATGTGCCAACAAAACAAAAACAAATAAACCACCACAACAAAAACACATTTTTTTAAAAAATGATATCTTAGAATCCCAGCTAAGGAGTCAAAAATGTGTTTAATCTATTTACAAATAAATAGCACAGCAGGTAGGGCGTTTGCCTTGCACACGGCCGACCCAGGTTCGATTCCTTCATTCCTCTCGGAGAGCCCGGCAAGCTACCGAGAGTATCCCACCCGCACAGCAGAGCCTGGCAAGCTCCCTGTGGCATATCCTATATGCCAAAAACAGTAACAAGTCTCACAATGGAGACATTACTGGTGCTTGCTCAAGTAAATCAATGAACAACGGGAGGACAATGCTACAGTGCTAACCATACATAGTAAGACAAGAGTAGGGGCCAGAGAGATAGTCCAGTGGGTAGAGCACTTGCTTTGTACACTACCAACCCAGGTTTGATCCCCAGCTTCCCATATGGTCCCCCGAGACTGCCAGGAATGATTCCTGAGTACAGAGCCGGGAATAATCCCTGAGCACGACTGGGTGTGGGGCCACCCTGACGTTCCCCCCCCCCCCAAAAAAAATACATATATAGATCTAGATATAAGACAAGAGTAGATGATAAAGTAATATATTTCTTTCTTGAAGAAGCCGAACTTGTAATGATATTCCTAAAGGGGCTGTACCCCACTTCCTTCCTCATCTGAGTGGTCCCTAGTCCTCCTGCTGCTCATTTCCCCTTCAGGAGTTCAGTCTCCCGGGAGTGCCCCAGGCCCACAGTGACAGTCCCTCAGCTGGCCCTGTCTGGCCGGGTCTCTCTGCACACTGTTTCTGGGACGTTTCTCCCGCCGTCAGACGCCCGTGTCCTATTCTTCTGTGTCTGCTCGGCGTGGCGAAGCCTCGCTTGGAGACGAGCTCTCCGGTCGGTCGGTTGTAACTCAGATCCGCATTTGAAAATTTCGCTTTCAAATCCTGCGACCACGCGTCTGAAAGCAGAATGTCAAGTTGAACGTTATCAAAGTGTCTCCAAGTTCCACGAGGGAGAAGATGGGCTTTGGCACTGCTCCCTTGCCTCCATTTGCTTGAGATGACGGCATGTGGAGAAACTGGAAGGTATACTCTGTACTTGCCCAGCGAAAAACAAAAATATTACAGGGAGAGTCGGGAAAAGGCAAAAGCACCACTTAGGACCTAATTAAAAGAACTTAATTTCACTAAGCACCATCCTCGAGCCTTCTTACCTCATGTTCAACACCTTCCTTTATTCCCGAGACAACGCAGAAATCCGAACGTGTCCAAGTGCCGCCAGCCGCCAGCCTCGAGGAGGTTGCGTCCGTATTAGCTCTGTTTTCCTTCTCCTCTCTCCCCCAAGCCAAGGTGACTTCTCCATGTCTTCTGATGCACTTTTTCCTTCTTTGGAGTGGCTGTGGGCCTTTCACGCGCACCCGCGACAGCCAGTCACCCCCTCGGGAACTAAGACCAGGTCGCCTCCATTTCCCGCCGGAACTCACTGCTGGGTCTGACCACCCCACCCCACCCCACCCCTCGGCATCATCATTTCCACCTCAGCGATGAACCAGGTGGGCACCCTGCCCACTGGACACCCCTCCACTAGGAACTGGTTAATAATCAGCTCCTCATGAGCAGGTTAACTTAACCTCCATGTGCCTGGCTTCTGTTTCGGACCCTGGATTCCTCATCCCTTCCCAGCGCTCTATAAATCCGTAGGAAGGACCACACACAGGCACTTCGACAGTGTTACATAATTGCAGTCTCCTCCACAAATGCTCCTTGCATGACTGCAAGGAAAGCAGGACTAGTTTTCTTCCTCCCACCCCCCCTCCCCCGCCCCTGCTGGAGGGTCCTGGAGCAGGAAGTTATGATTATGAGTAAATGAGACACTAAAGAGGCCCTTCTATTTTTAAACCCCTCGGCCATCAGGCCAGTGCCCCGTGACTGCCTCGCGGACATTAGCGCCATTAGCGGATTACCAAGGAATTTGCGACTAAATGGAGCTCGGAATTCGTGGCCGTATTGCCAGGCAGGCCCGGTGAACGTGCAGAGCCCCACTGCCTCGGAGACAGGCCTCGAGGAGCGAGATGAAAGGCAGCCTCCAGCGGCAGCCACAGGCCAGCCCCCTGGGCAAATAAAGGAGTACATTATCTGTGTCTAAATAGTCTCCGAAGGGTGCGCGGGGGAGATGGATGGCCGCGGAGATAAGTCCTCTGAGTCCGGGAGAGTGGGAAGCGGGGTCCCCAGGGTCTCTGTCGCTGACAGGCGCCGAGCCGTCAAGAGGAGGCACAGCCGGGGAGCGACAGATGGAGTGGAAGGATGGGTCTCGGTCCCCTGCGCCTGGAGCCAGCCCCTGCCTTCTCGGCCGGTCTGCCGGTCTTGCAGAAGAGGCCCCTCATCCCAGCCTCTGCCCCTGAAAGCCCACAGCCCCCAGAGATGCCGTTAAAAAAAAAAAACTTTCTCTGACTGTATGGATGTTTACCGAGCTGGGGATCTGAAGGCGAAACCGTCCGCCACCTTCCCGGGGCGCACAGCCCACCCCCGTGAATTAGGGAGTCGGAGACACGGGGGCCCTGGCGGAGGGCCCACAGCGTTGTGGGGGTGCATCCGGGGGCTGCGCTGGCCCCCACCTAAGCCAGGAGGCTCTGCAGGAGAGGCAGCGTAAGAATATCGTTGGTGGGGCTATACATGAGGTAACAGCGGGGATGGGGCTTGCCCTGACTGCACGGTTGAGCCAGGTTCGCCCCTGGCACCACATATGGCCCTCCGGGCACTGCCAGGAGTGATCCCTGAGCACAGAGGCAAGAGGGAAAAGCCCTGAGCATCACCAGGTGGGACGCCATCCCCGCCCACTCCGGAGAGAAAGAAGAATGTCGGCTGCTCGCTCCCTAGAACCCCAAGCGGGGCCCCGAGATGGGAGAAGTGCCCTTCCAGCAGAGGTGGAAGGGGGGTGTCTGCAGTGATCACAGCACAGCCCTCAGGGCTCAGAGCCGGACTATCCAGTCACTGCCTCCGAGTGGGCGCCCAGGCTGCTGGGCCAGGCGTGGCTCAGGGAAGCAGCTCTGTAGAGAAGAATCCCCTGAGAAAGGGCCTGCCGGCGCGTCTGAGGCTTTGGGCTGCAGGACGCAAAAAATGAGACGCAGAGTCTGCCCGCATCTCACAGCGGGCACACCGCGATGCTCCAGCCAAAGTGGGTGCCTGCGTGGTGGGCTGCTCCCAGGCACCCAGAGATGGGCAGCCAGGGGGCTTTGCCAAGTGTGTCTCAGCAGCTGCTTTCAGAACGCGGGGCAGGGAGATGGCGCGCAGGGCCGGAGCTCAGCCTCAGTCCCCAGCTCTGCGGGGTCCCCTGAGCACTGAGCCAGGAGTAACTAACTTCTAAGCACTGCTGCATGTGGCAGGGCAGGAAGGAAAGGAGGGAGGAGGGAGGTACATACATAGATTTGTGTCTCTTCAAATTCGTTGTTGGGGATTAAGTGTGTGGGTGAGATCGTCCTGACGTTAGGATCATGCACATCAGGGTGGGTCTCCAGCCTTTGGACTCCCCAGGCCTCTGTGTTCCCTAAGACAGAGAACATATGAAGGCCTGGAAGATAGGGGCCAGGACCATAACACAGCAGGGAGTTTTGATCCCCGGCACCTCGTATGGTCCCCTGAGCACCACCAGGAGTGACTCCTGAGTGTAGAGCCAGGAGTAAACCCTGAGCATCACCGGGTGTGACCACTCCACCCCCCAAGAAAAAGAGAAGATGGCCAGGAAGAAAGTTCCTGGTCAGGGCACTTGTTCCCCCTAAGGTTTGATCCCCAGAATCAGCGGGTGTGTCTCTGCTGGTCCCTAGCACTGAACTGCTGGCGCCCTTGGCTGTGTGGCCCGAGTGGCTCCCGGGCCCCCAAGCACTGCTTGGTAACCCCCGCACCAAAGAAAGGCATGAGAAGTAGAAGTGTCTCTGCAGGCTGGCCGGGTGGTGGCCGCGGGGCTGGTCTGTGTCAGGAGAACTCCCAGCCTGCTCTCCTTCTTCCAGGACATGGTCCGGCGTGGAGAGATCATAGACAACGACACCGAAGACGAGTTCTACCTCCGGCGCCTGGACGCGGGGCTCTTTGTTCTCCAGCACATCTGCTATATCATGGCCGAGATCTGCAATGCCAACGTCCCACAGGTAGGCGGGTACACACACACACACACACACACACCGTGGCCAACATCTGCAAGGCTAATGTCCCACAGGTAGGAGGGTCACACACATACATACACACACACCATGGATGACATCTGCAAAACTAATGTCCCACGTACCATAGCTGAGATGTGCAACAGCAATGTCCTGCCAATAAGAGGGTCTCTCTTTCTCTCTCTCTCTCTCTCTCTCTCTCTCTCTCTCTCTCTCTCTCTCTCTCTCTCTCTCTCTCTCACACACACACACACACACACACACACACACACTGGAATGAGGACAGGGAAGAAGTGTGTCACAGTCACATCCCACCCCCCTCTGTGTCCTCATCCGGGGGGGGGGGCGAGGGGCAAACCCTTCCCTGTCAGATTCTCTGTTTTTTTCCCGATGAAACGATGCTTGTCCCATCCTCTCTTCCTGTCCCTCCCCTCCCCAACTAGATCCGCCAGCGGGTCCACCAGATTCTGAACATGCGAGGAAGCTCCATCAAGATCGTCAGGCACATCATCAAGGGTGAGTCACCTGCATGGCGACAGACACGCCCCCCCTCCAACTCCATGCCAGCGCCCAGCGTGGGGGCTCCTTCCAGGCCTCCAGCTTTCGTGGCCTTCCGTAGTCCTTCCTGCCTCCCTCCCTGCTCCCTCCAGAGCTGGGAAAAAACAGAACAGGGCTCGCGAAGGGCACGGCTCTCTTTGTTTTCTTGGTGCAGGGAAATGGCAGAACAAGTTTAGTCTCAAAGAGCAAAAAAAATTGCTTTTTTGGGGAGACAAAAATGAGGCAGCAGGAAAGACGCATTGTGCAGAGCAGGAAAGTCAGTGGAGGGTGCGGGGCACACGCCTCCCTGTTCCTGCCTGGCCCCTTGGCCCAGCTGTGTGGGGGACTGTCCTGTCCACTCCTGTGAGACAGTCCTAGCGAGAGGCACCCCGAGTCCCATTCAGCCGTCTCCCTCCAGCCCTGCTTTACCCAGTTCCACCAAAATGCCATTGTGTCTGTTTTTGTTGCCTTGGTGTTTGTTTTTTGCTTGGGGGCCACGTGTGGCGGTGTTCAGGGCTTTCTCCTGGCTCTGCACTCAGGGGTCAGTCCTGACGGGCTCAGGGACCCAGTGGGGTGCCAGGATCTAACCCAGGTCGGCTGCGTGCTAGGCCAGTGCCCTCCGTGCTATACTGTTGCTCCAGCCTACTGCCTCCTTGCTTCAGCCTGGTCCCGAGAGGTTCTGGAGAACCCCAGAACTGAGCTCTGCAGGGCCCTTCTACCCTCAGGCCACCCAGCACAGACGGACCCACATGACCGGTCGTGACTGGCATTGGACTTGGCAGTGCTCATGATGCCAAAGTTAGGGAGTAAAGACTAACCGGGGTGGAGTGGGGCGCGGGCGAGGTCAGCCTGCTCTCTTGGGATCTCCTTCTGCCCCTCTCTGAGATGAAGGGTTAGAGGAAGGTCCTCAGGGTCACCCTGGAGAGGCCCAGAGCCCCAGCAGCGCTCGGGAGGAAACTAGAAGAGAGAAGCAATGCACAGTCACCGGCCTGGGCCCAGGAGTTGCCTCTGCTCTCCCTGCACCTCCGTTGGACGTGTCCCTGGCCACTCGGGGGTGTTTTATTTGCCCGAGGGGAGTGAGGGGGAATGCCTGGGCCGCAGTGGGCCCCTGCTGAGTCCTCAGCCAGCCGTGCTGGGGAATGCACCGGGCAATGCTTTTCCTGCTGAGTCCCGCCAAAGTGGTGCCCAAGGAGCACCGGGAGCTGTCCAGCCACGGCCAAGGCCAGGGACCTTGCCGGAGGAAGGGTCAGAGCCAGTGTGGCCCTCCCAGGTGGACTGGAGGGGGGTGGTGTCAGCTGGCAAATCTGAGGCGTTAGAACCTGTTGACAGAAGAAGTGATGGCGGGGGTGGGGGGGGGGAGAAGGCACCCATTCAGGACACGCCCCCACCTCTGCCCTTGAGGGTGCCTCAGGGCTGCCACCCTCCTGGGCACAGGGTCACCTTCCTGAGTGTTTGGCGGGACACCCCCTGCGCAGTCTGCAGCCCCCGGCTCTGCGGTGGCGCCCGCACGTTCAGGGCTATCAGCTCTTCGACTCCGCGTCCCGGCTGATCCTGCAGGCGATACCGTGACCCTGGGCCAAGGCGGATGTTCTTCTGGAGCCCCCTGCACAGTGACTGGAGAGCCCCGCCAGGGCCGTGCCTCCCCCCCAACTCTTTATCCCGCCCCCGAGCATCTCCCCTCTGCCTCCCGCTTCCCTGGGTGGATCCCTGTCTTGTGGACCCCCATCGCCGGTTCCTGGTTCTCCCTTCCTCGCCTCCCTCCCTCCCCACAGCCCTGCGTCCAGACTTGCTCATGGGCGGCCGCATCCACAGCTCCACCTCAGGGGCATGCGGTTCCCCACGAGGGCCGGACTGGACGCCCCAGGGCACCCCGTGAAGAGCCCAAGTGTTGGGGGTCTCCCCTCCCACGGAGTCCTTTGATTCTGTGCCTGGCCCATGGCACTCTCCTCAGTGCTGTCTGTGGTGAGACCCTGGGCCCCTCATTCCCAGGTGCTTACCCCCTGGAGATGTGTATCATCTTGGGGGGCAGGGGGAGCACCCCAACCCCGCCTAAGCCAAACACACGCTCCAGGGCGACTCCACTGGCACTGCAGAGCCTGCGAGATGCGGGGAGCTGCCGGAAGCTAATTATAACGTGCTAAGTGCCGTGTTACTGCCGTGAACAGTGCGCGTGGCGGGAGGCCGTGGGCGGGGGGTGGGGGACAGGCTGACCATGGCATCCCCATGGAGAGACAGGTGAGGTCGCCCCATCCAGGCAAGGCTGGGCAGGCCCAGAGCATCAGTGGGGGTGGGGTCTCCGGGAAGCCTCTCGTGCACAGTGAGTTTGGGGGGTGGTGCTGGCAGTATCTGCAGGCTCAGACAGCATACCGGGGGGGGGGGGGGGGGGGGGGGGGCAGGGACGTACACGCATGGAATCCAACGTCATCCCAGCAGAGTGCTCACCTGGACAGGCACCCGAGAGGCCCTCATGTTGCTGATGAGTATTCAGGTGTCAGTGAAAATCATGGCACAGGGGCAGGAGAGAGAGCACAGCGGGGAGGACGCTGGCAGCCAACCCAGGTTCAATCTCCAGCATCCCATACGGTCCCCCGAGCACGTCCAGTGACCCCTGAGTGCAGAGCCAGGAGTAACTCCTGAGCACCACTGGGTGTGCCCGCCACCCCCCCAGAAAAAAAAAATACTGGTACGTGCCGGCACTCACCCATGGGGTAGAGTGGGGTGAAAGCACCTCTCTGGGCAGCCACCCACCAATGCCCGGCCCAGGAGGGGGCGGGCCAGGCCAGACAGTGCTAAACTCTTGGCCCCATCCCCCAACCCCGTCCTGTCAGAAACTGGCAGCAGACACTCCCCGTCGTCGGTCCTTGTGGACTTTGATTTTGTTTTTCGGTTTAGGTTGCTTCTTTTTTTTTTTTTAACATACTAATTAGATGCAGACTTTCCCTTTGATTTTTATGGCCTACATATTTCCTAAGTTTTGCTGGCAGGGTGACAGCTGATGTATCCCTCGGGGTCCGGGGAAAACGCTGATGAGGCAGACCCAGCGGGGGACTCTTCCTGTTATATTCCGGTCCCCTTTCTCACGGTCCTCCTCCCTCCTCTCCTCCCGGGGCGCCCAGGGAGCTGGGAATAATTGATGGCTCATTAAAGCCCTTCTTCCTCCCTGTGTACTGCTTACTCGGCGCTCCCGCGTCCAGCCCTGCCTGGAGCCGGCCAAGCCCGGGGCCAGGGCCCTGGGGGTCTCCGCAGATGGGCCAGGGGTCTCTGCTCCTGGAGGACGGGGAGATGGCCCGGGCACCCTCCTGCTCCTGGAGCTGGCCCAGGGGGACGGGCACGGAGAGGGGCCCCCTCTGTGCCCACTGGGGGCACAGTACAGGCACTTCTGGACTGTTCCAGAAACCTCGAACCACAACAGCTGGAACAGCTGTGGCCGGCCCTCCACACCAGACTTTGAAGCATAGCCACGAGCTCCCATTCTCAGATCAGGAGCGAACGGGACTCCCAGAGACCAGAGGCTGTTTGCAGGGACCGGGAGAGCAGGAGCCGGGCCCCGGGAGGCCTGGACAGTGGGAATCCGCAGCCGGACAGACCTGAAGGAAGGAGAAACTGTCTTCAGGGCCATCCCTCTGCCGAGCCCCTGAGCTCAGTGAGGGAAACTGGCAGGCCGCCTGGGGGCCTCGGGGCCCATCACCCCAGGACATGTCCACGAACCGACCACTCCCCCTAGGCCCAGTTCTCTGTGGGTGACCCCCGGGAGCCAGGGAGGAAACGCTCACTCACCATTTCCTGTCTCTCATCGAGGTCGGGCGGACCCCAGGGTCCACTGATTCCCAGACATGGCGGCCCTCAGTGCCCACTGTTTAACCACAGAATTCACTGCCTCCTGCACCCACGGAGCCCCTCCCCACCCACCTCTCTGTCTTGGTGATGCTGCCGGCCTCAGATGACGGCTCTTCCAAGCCTGCCCCGGAGAGGGTAGCCTCCCTGCGTGGGCTCAGAGCTGAGACCCAGAACCCGGCTCACCCTGAGCCCCGGTACAGCAAGAGCCTTGCTGTAGGCCCAGCAAACACCATCCACAGCTACAGGGGCATTGGGTGGCCCAGTCTGGAGGGGAGGGCCGTGGAGAAGAGCTTGAGGGGTTGGGGCAGAAGGCCTCAGAGGTGGCTGCACTCCTTCCCGCTTGAAGATCACTCCAAAGCCCGTCGGTGTGTTTCCAGGTTGGCCCAGGGCTCCGAAGCCTGTGCTCCCCACCCTGCAGTCGCAGAGCTGTGAGAGGCCCGGGGGCTTCCTCTGAGGATCCCTGGGTGGGTGGACGGGACCGAGAGAGCCCTGGGAGGCGTACATGTCCACCTGAGGCAGTGTCAGCCTCTCTGAGCCCCTGCTTGTTTGTGGCAATGACAGGTGGCAGCCCACTTGCTGGGTCAAATGGGGTCTGGGACGCACGCCCAGGCCGGGACTGCAGCTTTGGGGAGTGACTGTGGGGGTCTTGGGTAGGGGTGCCGTGTCAGAGGCTGAGGCCAGGCAGGTTCTGGGGTCTGCGGTCGTTTGTGCTCAGTGAACAGGGCTCTCTCTTCTGTCCGTCCATCCGTCCTTCCTTCCTTTTCCTTCCTGTGTCCTTCCTTCCTTTTTCCGCTTTCCTTCCTTCCTTTTCTTTCCTTCCTCCCTTCGTCCTCCCTTCCTTCCTTCATCCTTCCTTCCTTTCTTCCCCTTCCTTCCTCTCCCTTCGTTCCTTCTTCCGCTCACCTTCCCTCCTTCATTCCCCTCATCCCGGAGCCACTGGGCTCCCCTGCCCCCCAGATCTGGGCTGTCGGAGGCCTCTTTCCTCTGCTCCCAGCGGGTCTGGGTGCCGCCATCTGCCCCCAGGAAGGCACCCAGGGGGCCCGGCCCAGTCTCTGCCGCATTCTCCGCAGTGCTGGGATTTCTACGGGGCCTAACCGGGCCTCCTTTTTCCCACTTTCTGCCTGACGGTGATTTCTCTGCCTTCAAGGGTTTTCAGCGTGAGAATATTGACTTTTCCTTCCCTCGCCCCCTCTCCCTGCCTCCTGCATCTTTGAGGAGGGCGAGCGCCGAGGCCTGAGATGTATGTGTATGTGGGGGGGGGGGAGGTTGCACCCTGCTGCCGGTCCGGCCTGCGCCCGGGAGGGCCATGCCTCCCCCCCTCCACGCCCCCTCCCTCTTGCTCTTAACATAAACAGAACAGCTTGTATTCCGTGTCTGAATAGTAAACCTGCTGTCTAAAGTTTGCTTTAATATTTATGCGTTCAGCACTGCTGCCTGGTTGTGAGCTCCATCAAAGCCTTTATTATTATAAGAGCATTCGGAAATGCGGGGAGACCAGACAGGGGGCTCGATGTGGGCATCATCTCGCTCACTCCTCCCGCGGCTCTCGCCCCTCGGCCCCTCCTCTCCCTCTCCCCACCCATGGGAGCGCTCCCTTCATCTCGCACCCCTCTCTCTCTCTCTCTCTCTCTGTCTCTCTCTCTCTCTGTCTCTCTCTCTCTCTCTCTCTCTCTCTCCCTCTCCCCCTCTCTCTTCCTCTCTCTCTCACGCACAGCAAGGAGAACTCTTTCCCGAGACCTCTGGGAGGGCTCTGTTCAATATTTATGAACTGCTGCAGCAGCTATAATAACCAGGGGTAGCTGGCACCACCGCCACTTGCTCCAAACACAGTCTCGTCTGGAAACAAAGAACGGGTAGAGGTGAGGGGGAGAGGGTGCGGGGCCCGGGACCCCCAGGCGGCTGCTGGCCGGTCCGGTGGGAGGCCTGGCTGGCAGCTGCCTGCTGGGGGGCAGAAGGGTGGCCGCTTCAAAGAGCTGCCACCAACTCGGCCTCCCTCTGACCGGCCTGAGAGTGGCCCCTGCCGAGAGCCCGTCAGCTCGGCCCTGCTCCCTGTGGGCCCCTTTATTGCCCAGCACATGCCCTCTGACCTCCGACCTCCACGGTCTTGCCCTTTTGGCTGCTCCCCTGTAGGACGGGAGGCAGTTGCTCGGGGTGAGCTTCTGCCCACAGCATTTTCAGGCCTGTGGACTCAGGGTTCGCACCTCCGCAGTCAGTCGGGCAAGCGGCTTCAGCCCTGGGAGGTGGGAGGGGCTTGTTCCCATCACTGGGTGCACGGGGGCACACACACACACACACACACACACACACACACACACACACACACACACGCCTTCTGGCAACTCCCCCATGCTCGCAGGGGTGCCCCGGGCGTTCTCCTGCACCCACCAGCCCCTGGGTAAGAGGCTTTCCCCCTGCGATCCCTGGAAGGAGCCTAGGCCCCTCCGGGGAGCTGGCCAGGCTCGGAAAATTACTGCCCCTCAGGAGCAAACTGTCTCCACTCCCCGCCCCTCCGGCTCGGAGAATACATTAGGAGAGCAAAGTATTAGTTCAATCCATTAAGACTCGCTTCCAGACCGTGCCTCTGGGGGTATTAAGTGCTATAAATGGTCACTCCTCTCTCCTGGGGCGGAGACTGCATCGGGCACGGTGAGGAGATGACCCTGCCCGCCTGCCCCACCCTGGAAGGCCTCTGGGCTGGTGCAGCCCTAGAGGTGAGCGTTGGGCCTCACGGAAGAAGCTGGTTTCCAGGGGGGAGACACACAGGTGCACATGTCTGGATCCCAAGTCCCAGGTCCCAGCACGTGTTCAAAGTAATAAAGAGGAAGGAGGAAACACAAAGAGGGTCAGGCCCAAGGCTGTTCCCAGGGCAGGGAGCTGTCCCCTTTCTCCCCAGTCTTTCCCTGTTGTGGCTCTACAGATGTTTTATTCTGCCCAGGCCTCTTTCTGGAGAGTTCTGTGTCCACCCGCCGCTGGCCTCTCAGGCTGCCCGTAACTGTCTGACCCCCTCTCTGTGTTTGTCCATTGCTCTGCATCTTACCGAGTAGGAGGCCCATGGCCCCAGATGCATGAAGCTCCCGGGCTAGCGAGGGAGGAGAGGGCGGCACGCAGCAGGCCGGGGCCAGAAGCCCCGAGAGGGGGCCGCCCCGGGAGGCCTCGCCTGCCCGAGCACCGGAGACGCCGCGGAGCCCACGTGCTTCTATCGTAGGCTAGGCTCGGTCCCTGTCATGCATTTTTTCACTGGATTCAAATGAGCCTCGCCCTCTCTGCAGGGGGTGGTACTGGTGGGGATGCCCCTGGCTCTCGCACCGTGTGCTGATATCCCAGGGAGGCATGTTCTGGACTGAAACGTGCAGGGTCGCGGCCCTGTGTCCTGGGCCTGCTCGGCTCTAAAGCCTCGTTCCTGGCCCCTTCTCCCACCCACTTCTCCCTGCTCCTTACCCCGTGGTCACTAACCTGCCTTGTGTTCTTGTCATCCGACTGTTTGTGGGGAGGGAGCGCTGGGCCACACCTGGCAGTGCTCAGGGCTCACTCCTGGCCCAGTGCTCAGGGCTCACTCCTGGCCCAGTGCTCAGGGATCACCCCTGGCCCAGTGCTCAGGGATCACTCCTGGCGGGGCTCGGGGGGACCATATGCGGTGCCAGGGATTGAACCCCAGTCGACCACTTACACAGCAAACACCCCACCCGCTGTATTCTTGCTCCAGCCCTAATAGTCCCTCGTTTGGTCTTGCTCGGCCTTCGGTTCCGTGGTCTGCCATGTGTTGGTGCAACCGCAGGGCGTCTCGCTCCTTCCGACTGACTTCCCTTAGGTCTGTTCGTGTTGGTGTAAGGGGCCGGATCCCACCTGGCTGCTATTTTGTGGTGTACAGAGACACCCTCCTTCTGACTCATCGTGTCCAGAACGGACGAAAGACGAGTCTGCGACTTGCGGGAGGCAGCGATGAGGGTCTCCCAGGCGTCAGCCTCGGTGATGGTGTGGTGGCCCCACCTCCCTTGGCTCCGGGGCCACAGCAGGAGTAAACAAACAGGGCCCCACGCCACGTCCAGGAGCTTCTGATGGGGGCGGAGAGATAGTCCGGCCCCCCGCAGCCCATATGGTCCCCCCTGCCCACCAGGGGTAATTCCTGAGCACAGAGCCAAGAGTAACCCCTGAACATTACCAGACACGGCCCAGAAGCCAACAAAAAGAGCTTCTGATGATAGTAATATGGCAGGTATTACCAAGCCAGCCCTGGTCTGATCCCCAGAACCACATCGCCAGGGGTCACTCCTGAGCACAGAGGCAGGAGCAGTCCCCAAGCATCCCCAGGTGAAAACACAGACCGTCGGGTGTCCTGGCCATGTAGGAACGAAACATTAAGGTGTTCCTGGTAGCTTCTCTTGGGTGAGAAGGGGTGGGAGGTAGGGAAAGCCAGAAGGCCTGCCTGGGGGAGGCAGCATGCATGTGCTGTTAAGCAGCGAAGGGTCTGGTGTGGCGGGGAGAAGGGAGTCTGGGGCTAGCTGGGACCTGGGAGGGCCGGAGGGTGCAGCCACACAAGGCCCATGCCTCAGCTTCACACCCCCCTACCTTTGTCTCCCCAGAGTACGCAGAGAACATCGGGGACGGCCGGAGCCCGGAGTTCCGAGAGAATGAGCAGAAGCGCATCCTGGGCCTGTTGGAGAACTTCTAGGGCCCGCGGGGACACCGACACCCCCTCCCAGGGGATTAAAGCTGGTTTTGCTACCCCTGGACTCGCTTCTTTGTGCACGTCCCTCACCCCTAGCACCCCGCAGCAGCAAGGGGGTCACTCTTCCAGGAAGGAAACAGGCCCAGAGGGGGCGGGGGTCCTGCCCGTGGTCACTGGACGCAGGCAGCACGGACTAATGACCGTCCAAACATGAAGACCCGGGCGGGCTCCCCGGATCCCTCACTGCCGAGAGTGGCGGGTTGGAACCGGCCGGGCCGGGCCCACCTGGGCCAAGGACATCGAGACTCCAGCGCATCCAGGCCCCGAGTGGCTCTCGGTTCCCGGGTTCCGTGCCACCACCTTAGAGTGAGCTTGGCCCGGGGTGTCCACCCGGGACAGAAAAGCGACCCCAGCTGCCTGGGTCTCATTCCTGTCTCTGCCACGGGCAGCACTGATACTGGTGCAAGGTTTCTTTGGAGGAACAGGGCAGGCACGCAGAGGGCACACCAGGTCCCCTCCCCTCCTAGCAGGTCCCCTCTTACTCGGGGCCTGAGCGCGTCCAGCCAGAGTTGCTGTGTCCAGCCGCCCTCCTCACCCCAGGCCACCACCGCCAGGGCAGTGCACAGGATGGTGCCTGGGTTACCGGGGCTGCTACAGGTCGTGTGTCCAGGCCCCCTCCTGAGGCAGGGCAGCTTGTCACTGGTGGATTTAGTCACTCTCCTGCCTCACCTCCATACAGGGAGCCCCGCCCTGGGCCCCCACGGTCCGCTCTCTTCTTCCCGCCGGCCCTGGCCACACACTGTTGGAGCCAGGGGGTGGGGGACCCGCCCAGGACCAGCATCTGAGCCAGTCCTGTGTGACACCCCAGCCATGTTCCCTGTCCCCCAACAGCCTCCTCCTAGAAGCCACCACGGGCCCACAGCTAACAGGATGCTGCCCTCCGTCTCCTGTGTGGCTGGGGCTGATGCCATCTCGGGCCTAAAGCAAGTCCAGCTGTGAGCGCAGACGTGGGCCCAGTCCCTTAGAGGGTCACGATCCTTCCGCCTGTTCCTTAAGCTCCGTCCTAAGCAGGTAACATTGACACAAGTTCAGAGTGAGGGGCCGGAGCGATAGCTCCGCAGGTAGAATTCTCACCTACACTCAGATGACCCAGGTTCGATGCCTGGGATCCCATAGGGCCCCCTGAACACCGCCTGGAGTGATTCCTGAGTGCAGAGCCAGGAGGAACACCTGGGCTTCACCAGGTGTGGCCAAAAACACACCAAAAAATTAAATGAGACTCGATCAAAAATGGGCTCAGCGGGACCTGCCGCCACTCACCGCTGGTCACCTCCAAAGGCGTCGTAACCCTCCCACTGACGCCCCCAGCCTCCCACTGTGCCTCAGAATCCAGTGTGGATGGGAGGTGCCCCGGCTCAGGCCCACCGGCCCCTTCCCTGCCGTCACCCCGCAGGCCCCTGTGTGACCAAGTCCCCCCTCCAGAGCAGTGACCCCTCGCCTCCATTGCCCAGTGACCACCTCGGCCCTTTTCGCCTCGGTTCTGTCTTGGAAGGGTTGCGGCCAGTGTGAGGTATGTGATTCCCAGAATTGGGGAGGGGCTGCGCTGCCCCGGGGCCCAGGAGGGGCAAGGACACAAGAGACGGCATGGGGACACATCTCCACTGGGGAAGCCTGCCCTGGGGACAGCTGGACACCCGCACCTGACCTTCCTCACCCAGCCGCTGCATCTGGGCCGCCCTTTCCCCAAGGCTCCAGCCTCCACATCTGGGTCGGCCTGCTCTGGGATCACCAGGGCCATCCCCGCTCTGTGCAGGACCCAACCTGTCCGTCCCCACGTGCCCAGCTGTCGCCCAGTTGTCTCACGCCCAACCTGGCCTTGGCCAGAGCAGCAGCGGCATCTGAGCCCTGGGGACTCGGGCTGGTCTGGTTTCCTGCCCCATCCTGGCCCTGTTTGTGGGGCGCAGTGGCCACAAGGTGCACCGGGTACGGTTCAGAGAGGAGGACGCATGGTCAGGGGAGCCCCCTCAGCTGTGCCCAGCTCGTCCCTCTTGGTACTACCAGAGTGGCAGTTCAGGGGCAGCCAGGGGACGAGACGCGACTTCCTATTGGCGAGGCCCCACCATTCGAGGTCCTCCCCCAGAGCATGGGGACGGGGCACAGCAAGGGCCGGATGGTGACAGTCATCTGGACTAGAAAAGGACAAGAGCCCTCGCACCCCGCACCCCTCCCCCCCCAGGCACCCCTGCCCCTGCGGCCCCCGCTGCTCCTGGCTGGCTCCCTTCAGTTGTGTTCCCCTGGGGATGTGATTCGTCGTGACTCACGCAGTGACCTCTGGGGGCTGCCCTGGCCTTTCACCATCCCCCCCCCCCGCCCCGCACAGACCGCTGCCCCACTCCTCCGACAATGCCTCCCCTGGTTAAGTTCCTGGCCTTGGCGGACAGGAGGCCATGTCCCCCCCTCTCCCCCCAGGCGGGCCCCAAGCTGCGCGAACCCCCTGGACGGGATGCTCATTCATCTCGTGGACCCGGGCTTGACTCCAGGCAGCGCTGGCAGGGCAGGGAGCAGAGTGTCCACCACCGTCTCCGCAGGCATGGGGCGCCGGGCTGGTCTGCAGCTCTGCAGGGTGCAGAGCCGGCCCTGCTCGTCCGTCCGTCTGTCAGACTGTGCACGGTGCACGTTTGCTCTCAGGAGGGGTCAAGAGCGTTGCAGAGGAGGAGCGAACCCCGGGGGAGCAGGAGCACAGAGCAGGAGCACCCGTCTGGACTCGCTGTCACCCCCTGACCCGAGGAGGGCCTTGGGATCACACAGGAGCAGGAGGCAGCAGGTCGCCTCGGCGCCAGGTTCCGGACAAGAGCAAACGGACTTTCAGCCACGGGGTCTCTAGTGCTGGGGCAGGTGTGCATGGCCCAAGAGCGCCCCTGTGCCCCTCAGTCCTGTCACAGAGCTGATTCCGCTGACCCCAAAGCCAGAGCCGGCCACATCGGGCCAGTGTCCAGGCCCCGGGCACCAGACCGCACGCTCCAGCTCTGGCGAGCCCCGGACAGGTCTGCGGGAATCAGGACCAGAGCCGGCCTCGATGTCCAGCCCCAGCAGCGTCCTGGACCCCCTCTGGGCCTCTGAGGGGCCCGCCGGGAAATGCCACCCAGACGCCCCTGCCTCAGCAGCCACCGTCCTGTCCTGGGTGCCGTGGGACACGGTCCCTGCCCTGAGCACACTCCCCGACGGAAACAGGGGCTGGTGGGAAGGAGCTCTGAGCCAAGAACGAGCTGAGGGGAACAGCCAGCGCCAGGCCAGAACCTCCGGCTGGGGCAGAGGAAGTGGCCCTGACCTTCCCGGAGGAGCAGGAGATGCAGGGCTGGGGAGAGGGCTCTGGACAGGAGAGGGGACCCATCTGGCGATGAGTTGGGGGTGCCCAGAGGCCCAGCCCCTGTCCCCAGCAGCCCCCTGCAGCCCTGGCAGGTGCCGGGCGGGGCAGCCACCGCGCTGCTCAGTATATAAATATCTCTAATGAATAAATAGAAGTGCTTTTAGGCTGGCGGAGTGGAATCATTTCCACCTGCCGTAAAATTTCATTAGAAGCAGGCGCTGCAGGGGGAGAAGAATGGCCGCCGTAAATCTGCCTGCACCCCCTCCCCAGCCCCCCAGTCCCCCCCCCAGAGCCCCACAGGCCTTCCCAGGGCCTCGGGCTGCTCCTGCCCCTCCCCACCCACAGCTGCAACGGGCAGGATGGGGCCTCTGTCATCCGGGTGGGGAAATGGGCACACGTCCCTGCCCCGGAACGCAGGGGAAGGGGGTGAATCCTGGGACAGAGTCGGGGTGGGGGGGACACCAGCTTCAGGGGTGTGACAGCTGAGAGCCATGAGGCCCCTGCAGAGCAGGCGACAGTCCTGAGGTCCACCACGAAGGGCAGGTCCGGGCCTCCACCCCAGCTAAGGCCTGTCCCCGCCTCAGGGACTCACCCTGTCCCATTCTGCAGACAGGAACACTGAGCCCCGAGAGACCGTGACTAGCCGGACCCGAGTACATGGGGTTCCCCACCCCAGTGGCTCCCTCTGCGTTACCTGGGTCCCCAAGAGGGTCATCCTGGCCAGCCTCCACGTCCTGTGCTGTGACATGCCCCAGGTGCCGCGTCCACTCCTGTCAGCACCGAGGAGACACTGGGCACGCTCAGCTCTGAGTGCCAGGAGCTGGCCAGACAGCCCAGCTGAGCTGCCAAGCGGCTGAGCCCCGCTGGTCGCTTAAGCCCATCAAGCGGCCGTGACAGGACAGGGCCCGGCCAGCCCTGAGCAGCTGCAGAAGAGATGGAGAGATGCCTGTCACGCCACGCCACATCAGGGTGGCCTTGGGTGCCCACCGGGCTGGTGATCCCCAGGCAGAGTCTGGGTAGTGCTGTACCACCCACTCCCCCATGGAGAGACCCTCTGCCTCCCCCAGCCTCAGTTTCCCCACCTGTGAAAGCGGGAGGTGGAGCTATGTGGCCCTGCCCTCCCCCCCCCCTGCTCTCCTTCACTCTCCCCTCCAGACCCCCCAGGGTGTTTCTGCTTTTGTTTGGTTTGGGGGGCAGAGGGTACACTTAGGGCTCCCCCCCTGGGGGTCACTCCTGGTGGCATCAAAGATCTGTTGCAGTGCTCCCATATGCAAAGCATGTGCTCCAGCCCGCTGAACATCCCCTCTTAGGTGCCCTTTCCAGAAGAGGAAGTGAAGGGTCCCAGGATAGCCGGCCAGTGGGCGGAGCCAGGAGATGAGAACCAGCAAGGCCCCAGACGCCTGTTGGACCCCAGTCCCCAGCCGGGCTCCCTGTCCCCTCAGCACTGGGCAGGGCCCGGGAAGTCAGCGCAGGACCCCTGCGTTCTTGTAGGCCATGGAGCAGGGTGGGGTGCCTCGAGGACACAGGAGACGGCAGCCTTGGGGGTGGGGCGGGGGAGGGGGCATTGGGACCCAACTGGAGGGGGAGGAGGAGCTGGGTGAGAAAGGGGGTCCCCAGGAGCTGATAGCACAGCGGGTAGGGCATCGGCCTTACACGTGGCCGACCCAGGTTCGATT